TTAAGTTCAAAGTTAATAAAGGAGTAAAATTAAGCTTTTTTTAGCTCACAAATAATTATTGCATTGTATTACATTACTAGGATGAAAATGAGAGATTTCTTGAAAACTACGTTTTTATAAAAAAAAAATAGGTGTGCTGTATTTCAATAACCTGACCTGATTGAGCAAAATGAATGTTATATTCGGGTTTAGGAGGCCATTTCATTAAAAATTGCGCAAGATAACCCCAGGAACAGCAAATTCTTTTGAAAAACGCAGTCCCTGTGTAATCAATCAATTACAGGCAATGCACAATAAAAAAATTCTTTATAAATGAAGTGTTTGAAATTTGCAACACACTTGGTTTAAACTTCGTCCAGTGCATGATAAATGGCAAAAAAATTAAATTCACGCAACCTATCGAAAACCTCCAAGCTGATGTTGTGTCAATATTGAAAGAAACATTCCAGTTTTGGAATTTGAAAGAAAAGAGATAGTCGTTTAAAGTTTTGGTGCAGGAGAATGTTTCAAGAAGTCTAATCCAATAATTTGTGGAAAACACACCGGCTGGTTACTATCATCTAATGCTAACAACTCTGAGAGCTGTGAATACAAAAATCACTTAGCAAAAATCTTTTTCATTTAACACTGTGTTTTATCAATAAAGACTCTTTATTGATGAAACAGTGTTAAATGAAAAAAATTTTTGCTAAGTGATTTTTTACTACTTATATATATATATATATATATATATATATATATATATATATATATATATATATATATATATATATATATATATATATATATATATATATATATATATATATATATACATATATATATATATATATATATATATATATATATATATATATATATATATATATATATATATATATATATATATATATATAAATATATATATATATATATATATATATATATATATATATATATATATATATACATATATATATATGCATATATATATATATATATATATATATATATATATATATATATATATATATATATATATATATATATATATATATATATATGAATATATATTATTATTATTATTATTATTATTATTATTATTATAATTGTTATTATTAATTTTTATAGAAAATGCTATAAAACTTTTTTTTCTATAGAAAAAAAGGAAAAAAACAAAGTTTTATAGGAATTTCTATGATTACCTATAGAAATTTTATAGAATTTCTATAAGTTATATGCTTAAAAAATTTATTGAAATTCTATAGAACTTTTTTTTCCTGGGTATATACAAGGCCGGCGCGATAGAAGTGTGTGTGTGGGGGAGGGGGTGAAAACCCCCTCCCCCCCACACACACTTCTATCAATTACTTTTAGTCGGCAAATTTGACCCTTAGTCAGCAAATGTGATCCTTTTTGACTAGTTAGTCGGCAAATGTAGACCCTGTCGATAGGTTAGTCGGTAAAGTCAGTCGGCAAATGTCGTTATGGCAGTCGGTAAATTTTAAAAAACAAGGCCTTTTTTTTTTTTTTTTTTTTTTAAGACGGCAAAAGTTGTAATGGCACCCCTCCCCCACGTGACCCCTACTCGCGCCGGCTCTGGGTATATATATATATATATATATATATATATATATATATATATATATATATATATATATATATATATATATATATATATATATATATATATATATATAAAACTTAAATCTTGGTCCCGAGACGTTTCAAGAATTATTTATTTGCCTTGGTCTTAGTCTTGGTATTGAATTAAAATGTCTTGGTATATATATATATATATAAAATGTCGTACGGTATATATATATATATATATATATATATATATATATATATATATATATATATATATATATATATATATATATATATATATATATATATATATATATATATATATATATATATATATATATATATATATATATATATATATATATATATATATATATATATATATATATATATATATATATATATATATATATATATATATATATATATATATATATGTATATATATATATATATATATATATATATATATATACATATATATATATATATATATATATATATATATATATATATATATATATATATATATATATATATATATATATATGTGGAGTTTTCAAATAAGTTTATCGAAATTAGGGCTGTACCGGATTTAATTTTTTCAAATCCGGCCGGAGCCGGATTTGCCGGATTTCTACTGACAGATTCGGCCGGAATCGGAGCCGGAGCCGGATTTCAAAACAAAACTACAGGAGCCAAAATCCTGTACATCCCTAATTAGTGTTGAGCATGGTCAACAATGTGGACTATTCAGAATACCAAGTGACTGCTGTTTTCTGTTAAACTTCATTGTTGTTATTTAAAAAGTTTTATAGCAATTTCTATATATATAAATTAATAGAAATTCTAAAGAAATTCTATAGGCCATATGTTTTAAAAGTTTATAGTAATTCTATTGAACTTTTTTTCCGGGATTTTGTCACTCCGCCACTGTAGTGGATCATTGTGTCTATTTATTTCTGGTTCTTTCGGATATTTCCTTAGCTGAGTTTCAATGCCTTTTAGTAATTGTTGTTTATGTGCCCTGCCACCAGCGGACGTAGACTGAATAATTTTATCAATAAATTGCCAGAGTAATGATGATGATGATGTAGAAAAATTATTAAGCCCGGCTTATTTTAGTGGATTTTCTTCAGTTTTGTCAATCTTCTGTTCAGCATGCTCATATTGACTTCAATCTTGTTTTTTCAGCTGTCAGTGTTGCCTGTAATGAGGAGAATTTAGTTTTAAATTGTGAGTCAACCAGCCTCGTCAGTATATAAAGAGGTTTCTCTTTTCAATGCTTTTAAAACGCTCATCCAATCACTTGATTAGGGTTGACATCATAGTCTTTATACCTGCATCATTCTAGAATATCGTGTGTCTTCCGTTCAGAATTTTTTGCTGCGTAGTTGTTTTAAATTAGACTTAGCTTATTAAATTATAAAGAAATATAAATACAAATACCAAAACAAATATGAGGTTCATAAAATATAGAATTACAAAAAAAATTGAATTTTATAAATAAAATATTAGGTATACATGTAAACACGGGCAAATAAATGTAATAAATATTTGACAAAATTCAAAACTCCGACTAAAATTATGCCGGATTTGCTAAATTTTTGCCGGAGCCGGATTTGGGCCGGATTTGTAAAAATGGCCGGATTTCGGCCGGAGAAGGAGCCGGAGCCGAAATCCGGTACAGCCCTAATCGAAATGAATAGAGTAGCTCCATAGAGATAATCGTACCATAGATAGGTGTAACAAAGATCAACGGGGAAGTTAAAGCCATTGTAGCTGGTAATTTTTGGATGGTGATAGTGGCAACACTTTTAGGAATTTCTGCCAATTTAAAAAACATATATTTTCAATTTATGATCACAGACCCAAGTTATGCATTATTTATTTAACCTAAAAATAGAAGAGTTTGACTTAGGTAAAAGTTTGAATTTTGAAAGTGACTTGAGTTACCCCCATCTCCGGTACTAATTGTCTTTTTGTGCTAAAGTTTTCAGTCTATCTATACAGAACAACATTCATAACTCAATTAAACTATGTCAAAAAACTTATATATGTTTATACATATATATATATATATATATATAATATATATATATATATATATATATATAAAATCTTTATAAAATATATTAAATATTTTCAAAAAAGAGAAAACCTTTTTAAAATTTGTCTTTTTTTTGCATGAATGAAACTTTAAAACCTTACGTTCTTTCTAGATGTGAATAGAATTTAAAAGGTATATGAAAATAAGTTATCTAGATGGATTTCAGTATTTTTGAAATATTATCCCATCTTGTCATAGTCTTTCCATAGACCGGAAAATATTAAATATATTTGATAAAGATTATTACATATATATAAATATATATATATATATATATATATACATATATATATATATATATATATATATATATATATATATATATATATAATGCAGTTGTGTTGTGGTGTTGTGATGCAGCGCTCGTCTTATAAGCGAAAATTTCCGAGTTCGTTCCACACCATGTCACCGAGAGTACTGCGCTCAACTTGTTTTTCCGCGCAGCTGGCTTGTTCGTATATAATATATTGCTTTTTGTTGTTGTGGTTAAAAACTAAACAAAAATAATATGCTGGAGACCGAAATATTTATAAACGTGTGAGTGTGTGTGTGTGTGTGTTGTATATTGCAATATTAAACTATTACACAATCTATAACATTTACATTTTGCCATTTTAAAAAACAACTTTGTGCCACGTTGTTGGCAATGTCACATTTGTAACCAAAATAATATAAAAACAACGCTGGCGACCGATGTTGTGCCAATTTAACTTTCAACATTGATCTAACGTATTACCTACTTATGTATGTTGGCTGGGTAGTAGTTTATGACACTCTTTAACGAAAAGCGGTTTTCTGATAACTTTAGTCAGTTTTTCTACTTGCAGTAATAGTAGTAGTAGTAGTAGTAGTAGTAGTAGTAGTAGTAGTAGTAGTAGTAGTAGTAGTAGTAGTAGTTGTTGTAGTAGTAGTAGTAGTAGTAGTAGTAGTAGTAGTAGTAGTAGTTGTAGTAGTAGTAGTAGTAGTAGTAGTAGTTGTAGTAGTTGTAGTAGTTGTAGTAGTAGTAGTAGTAGTAGTAGTAGTAGTAGTAGTAGTAGTAGTAGTAGTAGTAGTAGTAGTAGTAGTAGTAGTATTAGTAGTAGTAGTAGTAGTAGTATTAGTAGTAGTAGTAGTAGTAGTAGTAGTAGTAGTAGTAGTAGTAGTAGTAGTAGTAGTAGTAGTAGTAGTAGTAGTAGTAGTAGTAGTAGTAGTAGTAGTAGTAGTAGTAGTATGTGGTAGTAGTAGTAATGACGATAAAACTGCTTTCATAAACATAATTTACTTATAAATAAAAAAAATTGTATAAAACTTACATTTTTTGATAAGGCAAGACAATTTAATTATATTTGATTTAATGGTTTTATTTAAATTTAGTAAATATATATTTACAATTTATTAAGTATTAAATTTTAACTTGAAAAATAAAAGTGACTATCCCAGTTTTTCCAAATCTAAACGTACGAATATGAATTTGGCACTTTGCATCTTCATATATTGGATTCCACAAATGTTAAACAAGTGATAAACTATTAGTTGTAAAAATAAAGTGATGATCTGTTAACAATAAAATGAAGTGATGATCTGCTAACAGTAAAATGAAGTGATGATCTGCAAACAATAAAAGTAAAAATGAAGTGATGGTCTGCTAGCAATAAAAGTAAAAATAAAGTGGTGATCTGCTAGCAATGAAAAAGTAAAATGTTATTGATATGCCTTAGTTTGTTTCATAACCATTTGTTGTCCGGCGGTTGTTGTTTCATAACCATTTGTTGTCCGGCGGTTTTTATAACCATTGGTTGTCCGGCGATTTTTATAATTGAAACTCGAAAAATTAATTTGTGTCATTAATTGGTTGCGTATTTATTTCTTCTTTTGTACTTATTTTAGAATAATTATTTCTATTAACTTCTTCTGGCGGATAGCCCATATTCAACTTTTCTAACATTGTTGCAAAACAACCTAAAATAAATATATTTTAAAATAGATTTTTTTAACAGCGACAAACGAAAACTCAATAAGAGAACTTGAGAGGTAAACTTATCTTAATCGAAAGATGAACTAATGCTCAATTAATAGTAAACATGGAATTGACGTTTAATGTAAAAAATTATGCATTTATGATAAATATAAAAAATAAATTTATAATAATATAATATTAATATAGTTACATTTTTGTTTTTTGCACACTTACCTAAACAATTTGAAACAAACTTAGGTATTTTCTCATATTTTATAAAAATGTAGTATATAGGAATGGTAACAAGGATTGCAATTAGGCAATAGGTTGATTCTAGTGGATGTTCAAAAAACGGAGCTACTGTGAAATAAGCTGAACTTAACAACACTAAAATGGGTAATCCAAGGAACACCTAAACGAGAAAAAAAAAAACACATTTCGCATACAATAAACATAAAAGTTTGGGATGCTTTTTTGATCTAAGTCTTTAAAAAGTAAAAGTAAACTACTTTTAACTTTTATTAAAGATTCTGGTCTTTAAAATAAATAAAATAAATTACTTTAAAAGGTCTTTCTATATCTGGTCTTTTATATCGTAGCCATAACAAAGCTGACATAGTCAAACCAACTAATGCCGCGTTAATAAAAGAGATGTATTTTAATAAATTTCCAAAATTAGATGACTTAGGTATCAGCATGACCAATGATAAAATGCACTATATACAAAGATAAGTAAATTGTATATCTAAAAAGATATAGACAAAATTGGGATTTTAGATTTAAGCAAATAAAATTAATTAAAAATATAGAATAATAAATGATTGTGAATCTTTCTATCTACTTTGTCGAATGCAATCACATTTCTAAAAAAAAAAAAACCACTTACCCACGCAGACATTTTGCTCAAAAAAGAAAAAGTAATTATGGTAATTTATGATGGAAAATAGCAATCTGCACAAAATTTTGGTCTGAGAAATTTGTTGTAGAAATGGGTTGCTCAAAGTTAGGAAATCATAGACAATTACTTAGGGAATTCGAAGCAAAATTTAAACTCAATGAAACAATGGACACTGTTATATCTTATTTCCTGTTGAAACTCTTGTATCTTTATCCCGTTTCCTGTTTTATATCATTTTCTGCGCTAGAATGTTATTGCTCATAGACAATATGTTAGTAAGCATGCAGCTTTTTTTTTAAAAAAACTTCATTAAAAAAATTAGTTATCATATTTGGTAATGGGATGTGATGTACCGAATTGCTAGTGAATTATGCAGTTTCTAACCACAGACAGAGTTTGTAATAAATTTCCTTCGCTATTTGTTTTAGATAATAAAAAACAACATAGAAATTATATTTTAAACATATTGTACATTTTTGGCTAAAAACTAAATGATGGTGTAAAAATTTACTTTTTGAAATGAAATATCTCTTCTAATATATTGAAAAGAATTAATAAGAAAACAACATTAGTAAAAGCCATAATAATATTTTTTAGCAGTTTATGTGAAAACCATCATTGATGGTTTTCACATAAACTGCTTAAATATTATCTAGAATTTTATTTGAAATTACAATCTAGTCTCCCGTGGAATGTAACTTGTTGAATGTAACATATTGTTGGAATGTAATGTGGAACGTAACATGTTGTTTTTTTAAAATATTCTTTGTTCCTTGAATATTAGGAGTTATAAAAAAATTTATAATTTTGATATGACATTTTATTAGTTGTAAGTTGTTTAATAATTGTAACATAATATTCATAATATAATATTTTTAAAAGTAATAATTGTTATATTCGATTAACTTTAGTGAAAATTTAACAAAGTGTACCTAGTCTCTTTTATTTTGTTTATTCTTTATTTTTATATTAGACTTTTATAACACATGTACATTGATACGTTTTTCTTTTCTTTACGTAGCACTTATCTACCATAATAAAACATGACGTATTTCGTCAATAACCCCAAGTAGTTTACTTACTATAAAAAATAGAGACGTAGTTGGTGTGTGGCGTTTTTTATGTATGAGAGAAAGAAACTTTGGCACATGACCTTTCTGAGCAACTGCGTTCAACATCCTAAAAAGATAAAATTAATTCTTAATTGAATCTAATTTAGTTCTTAAATTTACTTAATATTACCATAGATGGAAATAGCTGATAAAGTGTAATCACCTGCTGCTAGATATCATGCCTCCATTTGAAGCACCAAATGATGAGCATGCCACTAACACCGGTATAATCAAAGCTGCAGGACCATAAACTTGATCACCAAATGTCTAAATAAACTTATTAAATTTATGGGATAGTATTTTGTTGTTGTGCAACTTCAATTTTTAAAAATTAAAGTAAACATAAGAACGGTGTAATTTCTGACATTATATTAGTGCCTTGTTTAAAAATTACTTTTTTACAATTCATACACCAATTTTTTATTTTTAGTTCTGCCATGTAGTTACTTACCACTCCTACTGCATTTGAAGTGGCGATTTCAAGTGGAGTCATTACTGTTAAGTATGCCGCATTGACGGTGACATAGAAAACTGTAACTAATATCATTCCAATCCACATAGCTAATGGGAGATCTCTAATAGGATTTTTAAGTTCTGCAGCAATTGTAGGTAAATTACTATATCCCCCGTAGGCCCAAAAGCCACCGTAAAAAGCATAACAAATTTCTGAGATATTTGTCTTTGATCCTTTAAAAATTTGTCTGAAATTTTGGTAATGACCTAAAAAATATTTCAGAACTTTATTAAAACATGTTTTATTTTTTAAAAGTTTACTTTAAATAATTCAAAGTATTTATAAATACTTAGTATTTATAAGTATTTATATTATATTATATTATATTATATTATATTATAGTATTTATAAGTATTTATAAATACTTATTTAAAAAATAAAAACTCAAAAACTTAGTTTAAAGTTCTATAGAACTTTAAACTAAGTTTTTGAGTTTTTATTTTTTTAAACTATATGTTATGATTAATCTAAGATTTAAAAAATGAAAGTATTGTTTTAATTACTTTTTTAAACTTGTTTTTTCCCACTGATCTCTTTAATAACTGGATAGCGCATCTCTATTATCAAAAGTGAAGCGAATATTTTGTACGGCCGCCATATTGGAAAGCCCCAGAATACCGAAAATACAGTGATTGCGCTTGAAAATGTACCTTTTTACTTCGTTCATATCTACTCGACCAAGTCACGTATTTCAATGATATTATTATATTTAAAATGTTTGAAGGTGTAAAAATTATAAAAGGGAATCAAAAACATTAACGACGAAGAGAAATATCGCTATAAAGAAATAATAAAATTTGTATTGCTTTCTATGAACTTGTTAAATTTATTGAATTCATGATATTCTAAATAAAACTTTTCTGAAAGACAAATTGATATTTGATCTGGTTACTTTTGGGTGTTTATTTTAACAACTTGATGCGACCTTACTTAGCAATAGTAGCTGGAAAGTAACTTTACAAGTATAAAACATGATAAAAACATTGTATCAAACATTTTTGTAAATGGTTTTCTAATTTTTGAAACTCTAAGGGCATGTTTATATTGTTCCACAACTGAAATATCATCAACTATGCAATACTTTATTAAAATTGATATCACTTAATAACAATGTTTTGTTCTGTTGCTTTGCTAACTTTAATTACACTTTGTGAAGGTTTGAAAAAGCCATCTCTAACTTTAAAAAACACTAGATATTTGGTGATAACTAGTTATTTGCAGTTTTACATTAAAGTGTTTAGTGTTTTAGACTAAATAACAGCATCACATACATGTTGATTGTTTATATGTAAATATGGTATAAATGAAAACAAACATGGTATCTTTCAAGTTTTTTTACAACTATTGACTCTAAAGTAAAATAATAATGATTCAGCTAACATCTATCAGTTTTATACTGATAAATATTAGTTGCATAATTAATAAATATTAAAAATATTTCTTGTGAAAACAAATAAGCAACAAAAGACCAAAATGAAAGGTGAACAATTTTTTTTATAAGTGCACATACTTTTTAACTTTTCCCTACCACATAATACCTTTTTATTCAATGTTTATTTTGTTATTCAATGCTTATACAAGTTATTCAGTGATTATTTTGTTCAAGATGATAGAGCTAACTATTATTTTATTTATATATTTTTTCTTTAACATATTCTTTTGTAATTGCAATATCTTATACAAATGTTCTGGTGTTGTGAAAATGTCTAATGGCATTTACAAAAATGTCTTGAAAGTATTTTTCGACAGTTATATATATGTATATATATATATATATATATATATATATATATATATATATATATATATATATATATATATATATATATATATATATATATACACGCAAGAACAAAGCCATTAAAAGTAAATATAAAGATTTGCTATATGTTGCCTAAGGAACCTTTAGGTTTAATCACATTGCCTAACTAATGATTCATACAGCAAACTTGTAAGCTGTTTACCTTGCAAATATGTTACAAGCCTCAGACATTTTGCAGAGGGCAATTAAGAATCAAAAGGTGCATACTAATATACACCTGCATGCTATTATAATAATATTATACCAGGGTGGCCAGCTAACTGGAAATCATGGAAAAGTCAGGGAATTTTTTTCTAGTTAGGGAAATCAGGGAAAAATGTCTTTTTTGAAAATTTAATTTTTTTTAAAGGTTTTTTTTTACTTACTCCCAAACAACAAAACTTAAAAAATCACACTTCAAAATATAACTGAGTCAGGGAAAAATATAAAAAGTCAGGGAATTTAGTTCTTGAAAGTGGCTGGCCACCCTGTATACATAATTTATATATATATATATATATATATATATATATATATATATATATATATATATATATATATATATATATATATATATATGTATATATATATATATATATATATATATATGTATATATGTATACATATATATATATATATATATATATATATATATATATATATATATATATATATATATATATATATATATATATATATATATATTATACTTATGTCACTCTCCATGAAATAATATATATATATATATATATATATATATATATATATATATATAATATATATATATATATATATATATATATATATATATATATATATATACTTATGTCACTCTCCATGAAATAATCTGAACATATAACATCAGATTTACTCGGATATTTATAATCAATGAATTTATAAGGTTTTTGCATTTTTTATTTATCAAGCGAAATCTGTGTTTTATATATATATATATATATATATATATATATATATATATATATATATATATATATATATATATATATATATTATATATATATATGTATATATATATATATATATATATATATATATATATATATATATATATATATATATATATATATATATATATATGTATATATATATACATATATATATATATATATATATATATATATATATATATATATACATATATATATATATATATATATATATATATATATATATATATATATATATATATATATATATATATATATATATATATATTTATACTTATGTCACTCTCCATGAAATAATCTGAACATATAACATCAGATTTACTCGGATATTAATAATCAATGAATTTATAAGGTTTTTGCATTTTTTATTTATCAAGCGAAATCTGCATATAAGTTTAACGCAACTACGGATTTATAAATTCTGGGGCTTTCCAATATGGCGTCTTTTGGCTTCAAAAATTTCGAAATTTTATTAGGAGATGCGCTATCCAGTTATTATAGAGATCAGTGTTTTTTCCTGTAAAACATTCGTGAAAGTATACTTAGGGTAGATTAGAGTATTAAGAGTACCTTAAGCTAAAACTGAAATATTTTCTAAAAAAATAATGCTGGATCCAAAAGTTTTGCAAGTAAAAAATTTTACGGATGGTTAATCATGATCCACTTAGATATTTGGGCACTCAAATTTTTTTTCTTTAAAACACAAAGGTTTTAAAAAACTACTGAAATTCCTTATATTACCAAGACCATTTGGTAATATGAGCATTTTAAATTAGCTCAAAAAACGTTAATTAAAAAATACAAACCTTACAATTTGAACTAATTTGTGGAATATAATATTCGTTATTAACAAAACTTTTCATTAAAAGACCAAACATTAAGTCATCTTTTATTGAAAGTATAGTACTTTGTTTTCAGCAAAATAAAAAAAAAAAAAAAAGAAAAAAAAAGATTAAAATTTTTAAAGTTAATGACAATTTTTCAATTTTATTAACTTAAACCTTTAATCAATAAAATTATAAACTTTTTTAATTTAAATTACAGAAAACAATTTAATATTGTCAAAATATTAAAAATCTTTACTATGTTTTGCTTTCATTTGAAAACCACTGCAAATTTAGGACTTTAAACTTAGTTATTTCAATGAAAATCACTTCTTAAATGCAAAAGCATGCTCATATTAAACAAAAATGGTATCTTTAAGTAAAGTCAAAACTAAATGTTTTTATGTAACGTTTTTCAAACAAAAATAGAACACATTTCTAACAAACATTTTTTTTGAAAATAAAAAATTGAATTTCATTATTTTTGCATCAAATTCCGAGTCACAGATTTATTCATGCGTAATGATAATAATTTTAACAACACAAAAAATTTTATAGCGCTTTAAATAGTGAGAGCCGCTAAATTCTGCATATAAATTTACGTTAATTTATACTGATTTCTGTTATCTTTGAAATCTTTTAGTATGCTCATATTACTAAATTGGTCATATTACCCTAATATACCCTATTTATGTTTTAATTTTTAAATTAAAAAATACGATTAAACTTGTTTTTTATATGAATGATTGTTTACAAATATTCAAATAAAAAAATTTTAGATTTAGATTTACCTTGACCAAGTCGCACTATACCAGTAACTGCAATCATTAATAACGCCAAAATTTTTATTGTTGTAAAAATCTCTTGAACTATTGTTCCTAAGTTAACGCTTGCACAGTTCAAGATGAATATTACTCCTAAAATGAGTAGAAATATTAATTTCTGAGTTTGTATATACTTTGTTTTTAAAACTTAAATAATTTGCCTACCAATGATTATGGCAGCAATTATTTTGATGTATTTTTCATGTATTTTGGCAGCTGAAACAATGTAACTTGCGCAAGTTAACGTCACCATAACAAATGCCATTGGAGATAATACTACCACATTTGTAAACCCAGATATAAATGCTGGTAAGTCTCCAAAACCTTCATATACAAAAGTATAATCAGAGCCTGATGACGTTGGAAACATTGTACCAAGTTCTACATAACATAAAGCTGAAAATAGTGCAAGTACTCCACTGCCTGCCCAAACAATAAGAATTAAACCTGAGCTTCCAGAATGGTTTGCAACTACACTAGGTGATACAAAAATTCCGCTACCAACTACTGTTCCTACAAGAAGACCGATGGCTCCTAAGAGTGTGATTTGCCGTTTGAAACCCACTTTTTTATCAATTATTTTTTGGGTATCGCTTTGGTTTTCATTTCTGATCAAATTCTCGGTACCATTTTTAGCGCTGTCTTCCACCAACGCATCATTACCGTCATTACTGTTTTTTAGCATTACAAATTTAATTTAGCTTTCAATTATGCCATATTTTGTTTTTTTATAAATTCTAAAATGTTCAGTTATTATAAGTAATTTACAATATAAACTATTCTCTTTAAATATAACAATTTTATTAACCTTTAACTAGATGTTGTTATTTCTAAATTATAACTTGTTCTAACCAAAACCTGTCAATTATATTTATTTATGTGTAATTTTTGAAAATGAAACAAAAATTTTTTTTAATAAAATAATCAAAAAAGTTACATTTATAAACATTATGAAACTTGGAGAATATATTTTAGTTGAATCAAAACAAATATATTCAAAAATATTGTTACATCATGAATGTATAAACAAGACCGCTGTGTATACAACTTGATAGTTGTTTACCAAAACACTTTTCAAATTTAATAATAATATATATAATAATATTAAAAATAATTGGTATTATAATAAAAATAATAAAACCAATTGTAACATGGAATGAAAACTTTAGTTATTTAATTATAATAACATGGAAACATTAAGTAATAATGGCTTTAAGAATACACTCTTAAGAAACTAACGCTAATATAACGAATGATTTTGAAAAAAGTAAACGCTATCCTTTATTTTAGGGTTATATTGGCGTTATATTTTTATGCTTGCCTCATAATTTTAATAAACAAATATAAAAAATAAAATTAAATAATTATTTGTTTACAAATCGAAAACCATAAAGGCTATAATAATTACGATAAAAATTGTAAATATAAATAGTTGTGACAAGTTTCGATTTGTTTGCATTTGATCAACAAAGTAAGTATGTTTTGATAGTGCAATATAGATACCAATTAAGTTTGTATAGATATACCATATATCAAGCACTGATGCGTATATTTCAAAATTGAAACCAAAACTATTTTTCGGAAGCACAATTTCTCAAAAAGCTTTTTAAAAGCTAGTAAACAAGTGAAATAAATGAATTGATTGGAGCTACTTACGAAAAAAGCAAAGGCAACCTTGAAATAATAGTAAAAGTCTGTTGAAATGCCAAGCAAAATCTAAGGTTTTTTAAAAATCATTTCTCTAGGTTCTTATAGTAATATTATAGAAAGTATAACACTTTATTTCTAAGTAAGTAATTTATATGATTGTCAAAAAAAAATTAAAACAACATACTATTTATAGCTTTCAATATATAACTTTTATATTACAAGGTAATATAATACAGATTATATATATATATATATATATATATATATATATATATATATATATATATATATATATATATATATGCACACACACACATACACATATATAAATCTAAATACCAATACATTTCAATCATATTTTAAACCTGATAATTAAATAAGGTACATCAACACGTACAAGAGACTATTATTAGTTAGTATATTAGAAGTATTATAAAAAAAGTTGATTTCTTTTGTACTAGGTTTTTTATATCAAATTTAAAACGTTTTTTTTTTTTTTCATATTTTGTATATTTTTTCAACTCTGTTTAAAAGTTAAAACAATTTAGTTATGACTACTAGTAGATTTTTTATATCTATTACTCTGTACAAATATCATTTTTTATATCTATTACTAACTCTGTACAAATATTCATCAAAACTAAACTATTTGAGTGGTCCTGTATTATGGTTCTTAAAATAAAATTGTTAAGGCGTCAAAGTAAAAAAATGTGCACTCGCATGCAGTTAATGTCATATCAAGTTAATGAAAAGGTAGCAAGTAAATTTTTAATGTTTTCACAAGCAGGAAAATTTGTCACTTTCAACAACTCGGTAAAATTAAAATGGATATCACCTTTTTAAATTTAACCAAAAGGCTTTGTATAAATCAAACTCACAAGGTAAAGCATGGGGATTCAGTTAATCTGCCCCATAAAAGTGAAAGATTTGATGAAGTACTTCTAACTAACGAAAAAATTAAACTTCTAAAATTATTTTTGTAGAACTAGCACAACGTTCTTGAAAAGTATCCAAACCATTTACTTATTCTACCCAACATGCTCTGCAAACACTTTTTAATCTTTTTTTAACAGCCAATAAAATAAAACATTCAATATGCTTTCCTAAATTTTGTTTCCTGGTAAATAAATGTTTTGAAAGTATGATTCTTCTTTAATGTTTGCCAAAAAATTCTTGGTTACACATTGCACGAGGAACAAAAAGTTTAAGCCTACAACTGTTGCAATAAGCAAATTTAGCTTTTTCAATCAGATTTAAAATACCAAGAAGATCTTAAGTGTGACCATCGATTGTTCCAGCATCATCATAATGTATAATGAAAAATCTAGAATACTTTTTAAAAAAACATAAAATGAACTAATCCTTAATTAGAAACACCTTTTGTGCAGTCTAAAAAACTGATAAATTCTTCTCAAATTGAACTTTGAATCAACAAACCATAATATAATACTCTAAATTTTTTGTTATATTTTCTATCATTGTAAGTTTATACTATTATTTTTATTATTGGTTATACAAAGTTGTCCAACGTTCAACAAATAAAAACCGAAAAAAAAAATATATATAATAATAATAATATAATAAGATTTATACGTAGTTAAAAACAAACTTTCGAAGTATATATTTAAAAACGTTTATTTAAAAAAAAGCTTTACCTTTTTTAAAAAAAAAACACAGCAACAACAGAATTTTATAAAAGTATTATAACAGAAACTTTAAAAAAATATCTAAATTTTTCAAATTAAATACACAAACAACAAAAAAACCTGTTTTTACCATTCCTAAAATTGCCTTTACTTTTGGAAATATTTGTTTTATCGTTCTAATAAAAAGTAAAGCCGTTTTTTGTTGTTGAATGTTATTTTTTGTTGTATTGTAATGCAATCGAATACCTATTTAAAAATCAATTAAGAAAAGATCTTAAGTCAAGTAATCTTACGATAAAGTAATATGTTTAACATATTGTATTCTTTATCGTAAGATATTTATATCCATTTAATAATACTATATAAAAAAATAACCATTGAAAAGATTTGGAATAATTTTTTTGCAATTTTAAAAAAGATGGAAGTAGTTATGATTTTAAGCAACAATGTAATTTTAAGTTAGAATTATTTTTAAACAAATAATTCTAATTTAAAAATATTAATTTCACTCTTTTTTCCTTGTACGCGCCAATGGGCGTGAACAAGGAAAAAGAGTGAAGGTAGCGTGATGCTGAAAAAATAGTGAAATTATGGTTTTTTCTATTATTTAGTTGGAAACTAATTTTTTTGTTAGACAGTACTCAAAATAGAGAAAGTATTAGAATTATAAAATAATTACAATGATTATCATATAAAGTATAAAACTCCGAGTTTCTATACTGACGAAAAATGATTTGACACCCCAAAAATATTTGTAAAACTTTGTTATACTATTATTATATTAATTTTTTTTTGTAAATAAAAACAAAGGGTTTACAACAGTGACGGATCCAGGAATTTTTAATTTGCCTTAAAATCAGTAACGCAGCAACGTCATTAAATGAGTGCTGGTGTAATGATTGGGAGTACGATTGGGTACCATGATAAATCAAAAATTCATTTTATTGACGGAAAAATAATAGCTAAAGTTTATCTTTTAATTGCTTAAATATTTTTACGACGTAAAGTATCTGTTATTGGTAGATAATGCTAGCGCTCATACAGCTACGCAGTGGACACTGGACTAAAAAAGACGTTTTTTAAACTTCCAAAACGTTCAAAAGACGTTTGATACATTTAAATTATTTTTAAAAGACGTCTTTTTTTTTATGTCTTGTGCCCACTGGGTAAAATAGTAAAGGATTATTTCAACAACAGTGAAATTAAAACTTTGATATGGCCAGCTAGATTCCCACTTGAATATTATTGAGAACTCTTGGGGCCAGCTGTCACAAAGTGTTTGAAGATGGTAAACAAAATAGTTCACTAACTGTCTTGAAATCATTCATCGCATCTGCATGGAATGCAACTGACATTTTGTACATAAAAAAGTTGTACGGTTTTTTGCCTTCTAGAATGATAGAAAACATTTTTAAAAAAATGGTTAAAGTACCTACTATCGATTTTTAAAAAAGACATCTTTTTTTATTAAAGACAATTTATATAAATTTTCTCCAAAAGTGTCTTTTAATTTTATCGCACTTAAAATACATTTTTTTTTAATAAAAAGCGAGTTTCGTTTAAAATAAATTTAAAAAAATGTTGTTTAGTGTTATAAACCCTTTGCTTCCATTTTTTTTTTTTTTTTTTTTTTTTTTTTTTTTTTTTTAACATCTTCTCTTCCAACAAGGCTGCAAGCAACCACTATAAAAGTTGGAAGTTACTGGAAGAGAAAAAACTAAATCTGTAGAGCAAGATAATGATTGACTGATGACTTAAAAGATTGCAAATTATATGAATCAGGAAAGCAAGATGAAGGAAGCGAATTCCAAAGAACTGATGTTCGAGGAAAAAAACTAGAAGAATAATAGTTTTTGAAGCACTTAGGAACAGTCACAGAAAAAGGATGAGACTTAATTGAATGGCGAGTAACACGAGAATGAATTTTAGTAGATGGCACAAGGGACGCTAGCTCTTTAGAGCAGTGCCCATTATAGTATTTGTAGAAAAGAGAAAGAGAAGCAACATTACGACGATGTGACAAAGGTTGGAGATTGGCTGCCAGAGCAGGTCCAACTATGTTCACAATTCGCCTTTGCACCTTGTCTAAAAGAGAAAGAGCATCATTAGAAGATCCGCCCCAGATGTGGCAACAGTATTCCATACAGGGACGGATTTGAGATTTATAGAGATAGAGAATAGAATCTGGAGTAAGAAAGTGTCGAGCTCGATAAAGAGATGCAACCTTAGCAGATGCTAATTTTGCAATGGATTTGATATACGGTTTAAAAGAAAGATCAGAAGTAAGAGTTAATCCTAGAAGATGAATGGTAGATGACTCATTTAGTACATTGCCTTTCATAAATATAGGAAGATCTAAATTATTACGATAACGGTTGGCCGAATAAAATTGAGTTTTATCTGAATTAATGTTCACCAGCCACTGTGAGCCCCATGCTGTAGCAGAAGTGAGATCCTTTTCA